GTTTAAAAATCTTTTCCCACCTCCCCTGGAAATAATTTATGACGCACATTGAGAAAGAAAACAGGCTTACAAAGAATCTACTTTGTGATTTTAACCCAGAAGTTGCCCAACCCAGCAGTTTTCCAGAGCTCACAATAAGAGGCATAGGATAAGAGGTCACAGTCATCACTACAAAAGGTCAGGGTAAACAGAACAGCAATGGGGAGCCATGAAGGATTTGCTCGAATCTTACTAAGAAGAATGAAAGAGCAAGATAACAAAGTTCCTCTGGGAATCTTGACCTAATATGACAGGCCCATTATCTAAACTGATACTGCTATTTGGTGCAGACACATTTCTTTGAAATGAATTAGTTGAAAAATTTCTCTCCTGGAGTCTAAAGTTCTACATGTGTGATTAATGCCTTCAAGGCAGCTTGGAGGTACAAATGTGTTATCACACATAGAACAGTATAATATCACTGCTGCTATAATAGGCAGAGGAAAAAGACTCCATCTCAGAGGGAGGTGACAATCTATGTTACATGAGCCTGACAATCCACTTTCAGGGTTCAGGGCCTCTGTTGTTCATGATGCCACATCACACCTCAGCAGTCAGACGCCCACGTCTCTGCCTTAGGCATCTGTAGGTTGGTCGTTTAGGGGACCAACCACTAAGTGAATGGCTTTGTATTTTTCTTTCTGATGAATGAAAAGGGAGGTAGAGCTGAGGTTAGGAAGGATCTAGACTACTTGGAGATCTTGACATACTCATGGATTCTCCAAACATGCAACTACAAAGATACTGACAAACACCTGAGTTAGAGCTTCCCCTTTCATAAATGCCTCGAGCATCGTGTCCCCTTTCTGTGATGACAGTACTCTCTGAAGACATGCAAAGGTCTCCTGGACCCTGTGCCTCGGAGGGAACAATCCTCCCCCACTCCGCCCGCTGGGGATAAGGACATATCAGCTTAGGGGAGAGACTTTCAAGTAGCCCAAGGAATCCATTCTTGTGTAACATCCTTAAGGAAGAAGAACATGACCCTATGGGATAATTCTGAGTCCATAAATACATGAGAACAACTGCATGGAGTTGTAGATACTTAGGAGACAATCTTATTTGAGCTGCTTTTAAAGAAACTGGGGTTCAAGGGGAGTCAGGTCAATGTGCTTCTAGGCTTTTGATCTTTTAAAATCATTCAGTCACTGTGCTGCAGCTTTTGCAGAGATAGGGTCTGGCCAGATGCAGAGCACCTGAGAGGGTCTGTGAGTGCCATCATCTTCCCAGTTCACTACAATAGCCTCATTTTTATCTGTTAAGTATATGAAAGTTCTGATAAATAAAAAACCAAAAAGCCAGATGACTCTAAAGGTCACTGTGACAATCTTCTTAGGACCAAAGGAAAAAAATAATTTTAGTTATTACCCTAATTATATTCCTGTTATAAAAAGAGGGGGAAAAAGTTATTACCCACCATCTCTTGCCCACCAGCTTTTTAAAATATCTTGTAATGTGCTGGCTAAGTTATTTCAGAAAACTCTTGCCCACCTCCACGGGGCACCATTCATAACAAGGATGAGGTCAATGGTGCTCTCACAGGGGCTCCTCAGTGGCCCTGAGGAAGATGCTTTTAGAGCTGACTGGGCTCCTATTTGGATCTCATCTGTCACTTACCAGCTACCAGACCCATTAGCAAACTAGCTAATGATCTCTCTGATCTTGCTTCCTTCTCTGTAAAATGGACATAATGAATTGCATTTCCAAAGACTTCTACAAAAGCTAAATAAGATAGCAAAAGTAAGGAACCTGGCATGGGGCAGCAGCCCTACAGGAGTGCTTTTGTCTTCTAATCACAAAAAATAACACCTCTCACAAGAAAATAAGCATATTTAGGGTTTGTGGCCCAAGTCCTAGATCAACAGTATGAAACTGGGAATAGCTCTCATCTGCTGTTCTCATCTGCTGAACATGGGTGGGCACCCCTGAATTAAAGGGGTCAGAATGTAGTAAACTGAGAACTATACTATTTTTTAAAAAAGATTTATTTATTTATGCACACAGAACTGGAATACAGGCCAGAGGTGCAGGGGCAGTGAGAGGATTCACCAGAGACAGAGTGGGGAGCAGAACAGGCCGACTGATGAAGCACACTGCTGAGGGGAGCAGCGGGCCGGTCAGGAGAGGTCTACCGCGCCCTGTGGGTCACCTCTGGGGCAGGGATCGAACTCATGCTGAAGTGGCTTTAGCTTCTTAGTGCCGTGCTTTAACCTGCGGCACCACCAGGGAGGGCCCGAACTATACAATTTTTATCTTGAAGTTGTGATAACTGGCAGAAAGGGAGACTAATCAGCATGCTAATTAACTGGGATGTGTTGGTACAACTGTGATCAAGGATAAGCAACTGTTTCAAGAAGACAGGACACATATGCTGCAACAAATTACTCTGTGCTTAATTCACACTGTTTGCCTTCTTTAGGACCAGTCAATATTCAACCTAAATCTTTTCTGTGATTCTTAAATTAAGAAGGGATTAACCTACACAATACGGCTATAATTTAGGATTATACTTTCTCCAAACGAAGGAACTGAAAGGGATTTCAGAGATCATCCAGTCTAAGCTCCCCAGGTTACACCTGGGAACACTGAGATCTAAAGAAGATGAGAGACACACCATCAGCACCAATGGCACAGCTCACTCTGGCACTCAGTTATATTAACTTATTCTCTTTCCATTACAAGGAATCAACCTTTTGCTTTATACACTACAACTGCCAATAGCCTGATATGGGTGATATGGATTTTCTCTGGAGTTCTGCATGATTTGGGGACTGTGAGCACTGGAGGGCATGGGCAGGCATGGGGTCAATGACTGCCATGTACTTGGGTGGGATTGTATGGGAAGGTCTAAGAATAATCAAGAAGGTAAATGAACAGCATGTTGGAAAGACTGTTAGGGAGCACCCAGTCTAGGATTTGGTAGTGGCCAGGAGGCAAAGGACCCTGTTTGGAGAGAAGAAATGAGAGCTTCAGAGGCTACGACAGGAGGGCCTGCCCAGTGCAGGAATGCTCACTGGTACTGTGGTATTTGTCATGCAATGTCATGCAAGTCAAGGCAAAATGTCATTTGACATTGGGGGGAAGAAGAGAAGTGTCACAAGCTCTCCCAACCTTAGCAGGAAGCAGGTGGCTGGTTCCCTGGCCAGGGCGGGAGTGTGAGTCGGGGACCCCCTTATCTCCCAAAGCCACTGCTGCTGAGACCAGCCACTCTGCACTCAGCCTGGCACATGGTGAAGGGGAAGCTGGAGGGAAAGTCCTCTCCAAGGGCACAGAGATTTTAAATTCATAACATCACATGATTTGTAAAGGTGGGGGAGGGGTCTATGCTTAAGTGCTATCTATCCAAGCAACTGCCGAAACCAAGACTGATGAGGAAATGTTTCATAGCAGGATCTTAAGATCAAAACACAAATGGGTCCTCAACTAGCAGAAAAAGCCCATGTAAGGAAGGCTAAGAGGGAACTGGGATTTCCTGGCCACCAGCCCAGTCACTGAAAACATGGCCTGTGAGGGCCTCAGCCTGGTGCGTCCTGACCTTTTGCCAACTCTGTGGAGGCTGGACTTTCAAAGCAAAGTGCACTCCAACAGTTTGGCAGCACAGACAAGATGGAAAGCTATATGTCATTGTATTTTCTAAACAGTAAGAGGTTAGCATTTGATATCCCCGTTCCTTTCATCTCTATCACTCTCGTGCATAGGATGTGGCCACTTTGAAGAAGATATGCACCATTCATCACCTCTCCTGTTTTGCTAGGATTAGAGAGACTGTAATAAAAGTGTGTGCATCAACACTCCAGGAGGACCTCACAGTTCTACGGTGTCAGCACCTTCCTATTTAAGAGAAGTGTTGACACCTTGGGGGCTCACCAGGGGGTCCTTCAGGTCCTCCACACGACATCCAGCAGACCCATGGCAAATGATAGAGAAAACATTACGTGCTAGGACAGAATAATAGTCTTTTCTGTGTTCATCTAAAATTTATTATATTCAGTCCAAGGCAAAGATGCAGTAATGTCTCTAATGTGACCTTCATGTGACATTTGATTAAGACACAGTCGGTACCTTTAAAAAAATTTCTTTCAAAATTAGAATAGGTCAGTAGAAAGACCAATGATAGAAACGTTCTTCTTCAACTGACATAGTAATTAGTGAGGGTTTTATATTTTAAGCACAGCTTCATCTCTCTAAAAAGAAGTGCCACCTCAAAACAATGTATTAAGCATCCACTAAATTTTTCTCGTTCATTTGGCAAGGTTGGTGTTGCCTCTGATGGCTGGCTTACAGCATGCATCCCAGTTCTTCTTGGTGTGCCATTCAAAGAGTAAATGTGGAAGGAGTTAGACTATTTAAAAGTGAGGAGCTACATCTGTAAGCATTTTTATACTAATATTTGTAAAATACCTTGAGAAAGAGTGCCTGGGAAACAGAGCTCTGCATGACATGGCAGAAATGGGAGGAGACAAACATAACTGGAAGGGACAGGTTTGTCCTGAGAGCACAGGTAACCTCAGCAAAGTGGTAACTTTGTTTTGGAGTGAAAATGTGGCACATGTCTGGATTCAGCATGCAGTGAGTTGCCTAGAATTGTCTACCTCCTGAGCATCTTGATATTTTTTTAAAGATTTATTTTATTTATTTATGCATAAAAGAACTGGGGTACAGGCCAAAAGTGCAGGGGGTGAGAGGATTCACTAGACAGAGTGGGAAGCAGAACAGGCAGATCTACTGAAAAACACTGCTGAGGGGAGCAGCAGGCGGGACAGGAGAGGTCTGCCACGCCATGTGGGTCAGCTCCGGGGCCTGGGACTGAATTCATGCCGCACTGGCTGCTATAGCTTGATAGTGTTGCGACTTTAACCCTTGTGCCACCAAGGAGACTTACATCTTGATTTTTAAAGACTTTTTATGTAAAGAGCAGTCTGAGGAAGCAAATGACAAGAGTCACACAGGTGCCTACTCACCTCCCATGATCTTAGATTGGCAGTTGATAAACTCCGGCTTCCTGTCAGTGAGGTACCGCTGGCAGGTGTGGTGCAGAATCTGGAAAAAGGTGCACTTTTCTGAGGCTGTGCTGGCCACCCACTGGTCAAAAGCATTTTCAAACAACAGATCAAATTCTGCAGAATCCTGGAAAAGACAGAGAAATAACCATTGCTTAGTCTATAAACACTGTTGCTTGCTTCCAGCTGCCCTATCGGAGAACTCACAGAGACTGAAACACCTTTTAGAGTTTTGTTCCTAAATTTAAGGCTCATCGTTATAGTAACCAAGTGTACAGAGAGCACACTTTTCTGGCTTCAAGAAAACTCCAAGTATTGAATTATATGTACATGTCCTGAGAAGCTACTATCACAGAAGGCCCTAACTACCTATTAACTGATGTGCCAATTCAGACTACACTTTACCTTCTCAGTTACTTGGAAAAGGATTCTTATAGGATCTTGACATTGAGCCCTTCTAATTTCCTCCCTTTGTTATAAGCACAAATTTACAATTTACGTTTCCTTCTTCCCTATTATTGATGTATATGGTGAGTGTGTGTGAATGTCCTTTGAGTAGATAATTCTACCTAATAAAAATGTCTCTCATTAAGTCCAATAGGATCCTGATAAATAATTTGTAAGGTATCATTCATTAGCTTGCTTTTTGGCAAATAAAAGCCATCATTGGGTGAGTTAGGAGTTAAATGACACTTTGACGAACATGGCTTTTCCATAGTGATAACTATGCCGTGACTATCTAAATGCTGTCTTTGTACTTTCTGATAAACACACGGCTGGCGGTGGCCTTTGTCTAGTCAGTCTGCATTCCCTTCGGCTCCTCCATCAAACATAATGAAAAGATTTATCATTTCCCATAAGAAAATGACAGGAATCAGAAAAGTCATGGTCACATAACTGAAATAGAAAAATAGCCTGGTTAAAAATGACGCAGACAACTGCCACCCTGTCAAGGTCAAGTGCAAGCTGTGTGTGAGGAAAACACCCTCTCTCTGCACCGGACACTTTTCTCACCCGATTAGGATCTATGCCGTTGACCTGGCGAAGCTGCTCAAGCATCCACTGTGATCTCCGTACGAATGACGTGGAGCCTTCAAATTGTTTGACCTTGGTGATGGATGCCTGTGTGGGCTTCTTGTTCGTCACTGCCAAGAAAAGACCACTCAGATTAGTGGTGTGCAGGCTGTGCTGTTCCCTCAGTTAGTGGTGCTTCTATTTGATAGCTACAATTACACATGCACAAGTAAGAGGGAGAACCAGAGAAAGCAAAGTAGGAAACAGTAGAGAGAGATATAAATGTGTATGTGTGTATTTACATAAATCTATCATCCGTATATCTGTCTGTATATGATCATGAGCATGAATGTGTGTCTTTGGTGAAAGTGAATTTTAAAAAGAAGTTGTTATAACCACCAGTATCAAGCAGTTAGAATATAATTGCAACTGCAAAGTTTGCTTTGTTTATGTCTTCATCCATTCAACCCAGACACAACTTACTGGAGTAACATCAAGTCTTTAATGCAGGCTATAGCGCACAATTACGGAGTAGGGACAGGAGCACATGGACTGAGGGACAGGAGGTGGGGTTCAGTGAGAAAGGCTGAATTTTAAAGGAAGTGGAGGTTACTGGCTTCCTAGGGAATTAGAATACATATTTCTGACATAGTTTGCTATAAATATTTTGGAATTCAATTATAAGGAGTAATATTTCACACACACACAAAAGGAAATGAAGCTATTTAGCTCTCAAATTTGTTCATCTGGCATCTAGTTTGTGTCTGATTATGACAGGATCTGGCTTTCTGAGCCCTCCCCCCCATGTGAATTCTTGTGATCACCACACTGCAGGATCAAGATGACCCTCCCATTCTTAGTCAGTTACTCCTGCACCCCCATCACAGTAAGGATGGCCAGCACCATCTCCCAGACAGAGGTCAAGCCCAGCACCAACAGAGTGATTTGAATATTTCTATGTCTTCTTATTTTGTAACTTAGAGCCTCCATGGTGAGGCTGGGGGTGATATAATTGTTTTAAGAGGGCTTTCCTAAAAAATCCACCCTGAGCCCTGACTGTGGGAATTGTAAGGTTAAGTATAAATAATGCAATGGAAAGAGCCAGGAAGGGTGGAGAGTGCTTCTTGTAATGAATGAAGTCCTAATAAGACTTATTTCAAATATGACCCCAGAATTCACATTTTCAAATAACACTGCAGATGCTTAACAGATGGCAAAAGAACCCTCGTGGGTGGGAGAACTCCAATGACTGGCTGTTTCATGCACACCATAATTTATAGTAGTTTTAGTGCCTGAGGTCATTAAAACAGGAAACCAGGAATCCTGAGGGCGATGAAATGTGGGCACCCTGCCTTTCGATCCGGTAAGAACCCTATGGCCCCGTACCAAAGACTGTTTTAGTGCCTCAGTATAATCTTCTCACTTTGCGCCTAACCAGAATTTAGCAAACATTTTACAAAATTTCAAATAATACCTTAGGTTGATTACCCATTATCTTTGTTATACTTGGCTAAAAATTTCTGAATGCTTTGCACCAGTTACATTTATGTTCATGGTTAAAAAGTCATCATCCCCTGAACAACCACAATCTGAGGAGCTTGTATAGTCCTTTTGTCATAAATGGCCTCTCTCTGGCCCACAGCTCCATGGATCAGTCTGTGAGTCCTATTAGGAAGAACCAATGTCCCAACTAAATTGAGGCAATATTATCAATATGCCCAGGACTCTGTCCACCCATTTAAATTTGTTTTGTTTTGTTTTGTTTCTTATGATAGGAATATGTTTCTCTGACAGTCATGCTCTGCTTTTGTGCTTTATGTTAAAGGAAACACCACACCTGGGATACACATGGGTCCTCAAATGTGCTTAAAAGATTAAAGAATGTATTTCAATAACAGGAAAACATGTGTTCCTGTATTAGACACACACCCCTAAACACACAAAGAGGATTTCCTCCCTCGTTTATGTAAATCACACGACATTCAGGCTTCCTGGGAAACATGAAGCCCTTTCTTTCTAACTTTAAAGCTGTCGTGAACGCCTATTTGTACTTCTGGTCCATTTATTTCCAAGTAGTTTACAGCACTAGAAAAGCTCAAACACAACACAGGATGGTTGGCATTATTGCACGTGTAGGATGGCCATTTCAGGAAGTCCAGCCATATTGAAAGTTTGTCACTGACATGAGAAGGGCAGAACCCCCACCCACATGACAAATTCCTGTTCACCAGGGCCACACTGAGAGGTAGGTGTTGTTTGTAAAAGCAGCTACAACTCATCCTCCCCCTATGCTCTCCCCCCATTAGTTTATTCCTTGCCCAGTTGTAGAAATCTGGGTAGCTTTCCTGGGCATTGAGCCCAGTTTGATTTAATTTTTGTTTATCGTTATTATCTCCAACATCCCAGTTTCTATTTTGAAGCAGGTGTCTTAAAATTATATTATTATATACACATTATATAGAGTTAAATAAAGACTTCAACTTTCTGAAATCAAAACACTTGCACAAACACCACATTGCTTTCTAAATTCCACAAAGCATGGAAAAGTCAATTATATATATATATTTTAGATTTATTTTATTTATGCATACAGAACTGGGGTATAGGCCAGAGATGCAGGTGTGGTGGGAGCATTCACCAGAGACAGAGTGAGCAGTAGAACAGACAGATGGACTAAGTACACTGCTGAGGGAAGCAGCGGGCGAGGGGAGAGGTCTGCTGTGGCCATGTGGGTCACCTTCAGGATAGGGGATTGAACCGCCACTGAGTGGCTGTGGTTAGCCTGCAGTGCCCTAACCTGCTGAGCCAGCCCAGAGTTTGATTTTAAATTCATTCTTGGCTTTGGTGTTTTTGGTATTTAAAGCAATTAAAAAATAATAAGCCAGATGTCTAGTGAAAAGCAATCATTTGTTTTCTCCTTCCAAAGGAAAACTAACTGACAACATACCCTGGAAAATGCAACCAAACAATCAGTAATATCACAAAGTGGCAAGCCCAAGTACCCCCACACGGCCATCCCCATTATCATCATCTTGAATAACTTTAAAAGACATTCTGTCATGACTTCAACACACATGAGCAGAAGGTAAATATGCAGACATTTAAGAGTGGGGGCGGTGTCTGGTGCTCTGAGGTGATACTGTGACCCACTGGGAATCAGCCCTGTCTGTCTTCCAAACCAACTATGCATCAGAATCAGCTGGGAATTTTACCACAAAGACATCAGATCATGGGGATCAGAATCTTTGGGGAAACAGCACTGGTTGCCAAATTTTAGCTCTCCTAAGTTGATTCTGAGAAATACTAATTGCCAAGACCACTGAATTTGTGTAGTTACTCATTTGGCAAATTATATATGGAACAGTCATAAGATGGAAGACACAGAAGTCAGTTTGGTGGGCATTTCAAAGATTGAATAAGCTATGATTCTGAATCGAGAACCTTGGGGAGGGGTGAGGAGGAGAAGAACAGTACAAAGCAATATTATAGCACCATTGAATAAAGTCAAGGAGTCATCTGAGGTGTTGCGAGCTGGAGTGGAGGGTGCTTCAGAGACCAAGAGAGAGTGGGGGAACACAGGGAAGCTTCATGCAGATGCCACATTCTAGGCAATATGCCATGAGCCCTGGCCTGGATTTCCATGACTTCCCCCAAGCTGGCTTCTCTGACCAGCCTAGCCATTCACAAGGAAAACTATTAAAAACTCCTCAGTAGGCTACTAGTGGGGAAGGGAACATGAAGACAGGAACAAAGTGGGAGAGGGGTTCCAATGGTCTATGGTAAAGGATGATGGGTACTTGTATAGTGGGGACACAGGTCTGAGTAGGTGTGAAATGAGTTCCCTAAATCATACACAATTTCTAAACCAATGTGACCTCAATATAGAAACATACATACATACTCATCAATGGAATCCCGAAGCATAGGTCAAGTGTTGGGGCTGTCCAAGACTACTGTTTCTTTTCCATTTGCTGCCACCCCATGACCCCTTGCTTTTCTACAATACTACAGAGAAAGACAGAAGCATGGCCAACCAAACCTTGCTCTTTTGCTATCAGTTCTGATAAAAAGAATGTGGTTTCCATGGCTGCACGCCTCCTCCTTAGCCTTCCTGTAGAAGTGATCAACAGCTCTGCTATAGCTAGGAAGCTGTGATAGGGACTGTTATAGCTGGAATATCATTACCATCACCACTCAAGTGGTGTAGCCTCTAGCTCACAATACCTTAAAAGGGCTCTTAAAAATGGTCCCTCCAAGCCCTCCCTGGTGGTGCAACATGTTAAAGGACAGCATTATGAAGCTATTGCAGCCACTGCAGCAATCAATCCCCTGCCCCAGAGGTGACCCACATGGCATGGCAGACCTCTCCTAACCTGCCTGCTGCTCCCCTCTGCAGTGTATTTCAGTCAATCTGCCTGTTCTGCTCCCCACTCTGTCTCTGGTGAATCCTCTCACTCCCTGCACCTCTGATCTGTACCCCAGTTCTGTATGTATAAATAAATAAATCTTAAAAAAAAAAAAGGTCCCTCTGTGAAATGTTGTACAAAGATACTAAGTTATACTCAGAATGTGGAGACCACTGGCCTTGGTTTTGCCTAATCAGAAAACTGTAGAAAAGCATCATGTTTGTCAGATCAAACCTGGTTTGCAGCCAGTCAGCAAGGTGGGTGAGGAAACGATGGTGTGCAGGCCCAGGCTACCTGCATACTGTGCAGGACAGAGGTGTGCAGGCCACCCATGGTAGGAGCCCAGCCTCCTTCCAGCATTCAGCAATTGAGATAATTTTTCTTTTTTTTTTAAAAAAAAAATTTATTTATTTACTTATTTATTCATACAGAACTGAGGTATAGGCCAGAGGTGCAGGGACAGTGAGAGGATTCACCAGAGACAGAGTTGGGAGCAGAACAGGCAGGTCTAGGAAGTACACTGCTGAGGGAGCAGTGGGCAGGTCAGGAGAGGTCTGTCGCACCATGTGGGTCACCTCTGGGGCACGTGGAGATTGAACTCATGCTGAAGTTGCTTTAACTTCTTAGTGCTGTGCTTTAACTTGCTGCGCCACCAGGGAGGGCCCCTGAGACCATTTCTGTAAGTTCACTCTTTTTCCTACAATCTCATTATTTATATCCCAAAC